AGCAAGCAAGCCTCCTGTTAGCTTCAAGCTGCCTGGCTGCCGGCCGCCATCTTGGCTGGCAGTTAATTTGCATATCGCCCTGATTAGCCAATGGGAAGGGTAGCGGAGGTACGGCTAATTACCATGTTTCTCTTTTATTAGATAGGATATATAAAAGCCTAAGCGACCATTACAACCGAACGACCACAACAACCGGAATGACCTGTCAACCAGTCGCCATGATGCACACTGACCACCAGGGGGCAGACGCTCAACACAGGAGCTGCCCCCTGGTGGTCAGTGTGCTCCCGCAGCCAACCTCCCCCAGTCCCTCCCCACAGCCGGCAAACCTGCGATCCCTTCCCCCTCCCCTCCCCTCATCTGGGAGGCCCTGTCCGGCAGGCCCTGGCCAGCCCGGGCCCCATTGGGGCTGGGTGAGATGGCCCCAATAGGCTCTGATAGCCGGCCAGGCCTAAGGACCCCATCCGTGCACAAATTTTGTGCACTGGGCCTCTAGTATATAGATAACATTCCTGAGTTCCTGCATGGTTTCCTAGCCAAGGCCATGATTGGGATTCCTGGGGATAGGTTAGTAGCAGTGTCCAAAATCTAAGCCTTAGGCTTTAATGAGTATCTTTGCTTAGATTTCCTAGATGCTAAGCGTATCCAAAGTTCTTTAAATTAAAATAGACATTTTTCTTTCAAGTGATCAGTGTTAACAGTCCCAAACATTAGGTTCTTCATAAGTTTTATTCAAGCAGCAACACATTTAGGAACAGAAGAAGATTATAACTTCTTGATTAAAAAAATTAAATACTTATTAAATGAGACTTCCCCCCAACCGTGAACATTTATTTTTGATTGTAGAGCTTGAATTATGTCTTGCAATAACACTTTTCCTTTGGTCATCACTTGGTTATAAAAATACTCGTCCCAACTCAAACATTACCTTAGGGTGAAAAAAAAGCAAGAGTTAATAATTTCATGGCAAATTACTGGTACAAGCTAAGATGACTCTTCCAAGGTGGCGATTAATGAAGAATTCTAAAGAAAGAGTAAATACGTGTCTTTTCCATGTGGCAGATCAGCTCTGCGGCTCAGGCACTTGCTGTGGGCGTTACATTGTACATTTATAGCCAGAACTTTCTCTAAATGCCATAATTTAAAATGTAGTACTTTTTAAAAAATCAGACTGCATTTATAAAACATTACCATAGCCACCTGAAACTTAACCTCACTTCCAAATAGACTTAGTAAGTGGAACAAAGTCATGTTCTTTCTCCCTAGCATTTTCTATGCCAACTTTTCATTTTCATGAAAAGGTGACTTACCTCTATGGTGATGAGGATGACGATCATCCACTCCAGGCGGAGTGCCCTCTTCTCTGTCAGGTGATTCCGCATTAGATCTGTCAGCTCCATGCAGTGCTGAAGTTTTTCATTCATGACCTGCATTAGAAAAATAGTAAAAAACATAAAATATAGGGACATAAAAAGTATCCTGTACTTCAACACATTTAATTCAGCAAATAAGTAACATGGTCACATGCTTCAAAATTGTACAGGTTTGAAATAGCTATACAGTGGGGCCTTGACTTACGAGTGTCCCAACTAACGAGTTTTTCGAGATACGAGCCGTCTCTCGGCCGACTTTTTGCTTTGAGTTGCGAGCTAAAATTCGGGTTACGAGCCAGCTTCAGATACCCCACCGCTAGTTGGCGCAGCGAACGTCACAGTGAACGCCACAACATCAGCCCAGCATCACGTGTCTCACTTGTTCACTTTAAGATTTGACATACGAGTAATTTGAGTTTCAAGCTCCGTCACGGAACGAATTAAACTCGTAAGTCAAGGCCCCATTGTACAGTGAAAAAGCATCCTTTCAATTCTCACTCCTCAGTTCTCTCCCTGAAGGCAACCTGCCAATATTCCCTGTCTCATGCATCGTCTAGAGCAGTGGTTCTCAATCTTGGCTGCACATTAGAATCACCTGGGAATCTTTTTAAAATCCTGATTTTTGTGCCTCATCCTCCGGAAATTCTGTTTCTTTGTTACTAATGTTGTGGCCCCGCCTCATAACAAAGAAACAGAATTTTCGGAGGATGAGGCCCAGAAACCAGGATTTTAAAAAGATTCCCAGGTGATTCTAATGTGCAGCCAAGGTTGAGAACCACTGATCTAGAGATATTTTGTATGTACATATTGAACTGCAAGAAGTACTTCGCATACTGAAGCTCTTACTGGTCAGGTTTTGATGGAAGATCTAAATATAAATTAGTTTCTGAGCCCTAGTTTTTTGGTGGCTGCCCGTGGATTTTAGCAGTTATGAAAGGCAAACGTGAAACATGGTTCATTCAGCATGGCCTTAAGATAACAGAAACAATGATTAACCTACCTTATACTACAATTCACTGTCAAATCCCACAAACACTAACACAACCTGCTGCACACTCACCACTAGATGGTACTGCTTTTAGCGCTGAACTGCAGAGGTTCTGCCCGTTGATGCCTTCCTCAGGTTGGTTGAGGGGGTTCATGGAATACAGAATCTTTGAATTTGAGATTTGAATGTGACCACTGGCAAGTTATGCCTCCTAAATCTCTGTAGCTCACTTTCTTTTGGAAATTGTCAAGTCTGGAAACATTTTTAAAAATAGTTTGATTCCCCTTGATTACTTATGGGGTGTGCTGAAGATGCAGGTTTGGTCAGTGGAGATTTGAGACAAGTTACAGATGCATGTTCGGGGTTTGACTGAAATGTGTTATGTGCTGTATAATAATAACAGTGTGATATGCTAATTAGACTGGCCGTCCATCCTTCCTTCCGGACAAAGCCACAGTGGGCGGGGCTTAGGCAGAGGTCCCTGGCCGCAGTGGCGGGCAGTGGCCTGGGGCCAAGGTCCTTGCATGAATTTCGTACATTGGGCCTCTAGTAAAACCATAATATGGTGCACTAACATAAACAGCCCGGGCACATGGAACCACACTGGTAGCATGTTTCTGGACATTATGGTCACCTTGTAGTATCTCTTATGTATAAATGTACAGGACAATGCTTTTCTTTTTTCCTTCCTTCCTCCCTTTCTTCCTCTTCCTAGTTTTGTTGGCTGCTTGGTCTTGGTTTATATCATGCAGCTCATCCAAGCTTACTTCTCTCTTCAAAATACTGACCCAACTCTCCATTTTCTTTCAACTTTTACAAAGGAACCTACATTTTCTTCCTCTACCTCCTCATCCTCCAACTTATTCCTTAAGCTTTAGAAACTGTATATATTACCACCACTCCCCTGAAACTTCCAAGCCCCTAATACGAAATCTAACAACTTTTGGTTAGATTCTAAGCCTCAGTTGACTCAAGCATTTGACCACACTTTGAAATGGATGTTTCCTTTGCTTTCCCTTCCCTAAGAACTAAGGTCTACCTCTGACTGCCATTCTTTTTCTGAGTCTTCTCTACCTCATCTTGCCTTTGAGTGACATTTCCCAAAGGCCTGATCGTGTCCTTGTCCTCCAGCTCTCTACTCTTACGTGATCTGACCTATTCTGGTTTGTGTAGACACTTCCTAAACGTCAGTCATTTCTGTCCTACCATCACTACTTCTGTGATACATGTGCCGAGTGTACTATTAAATTCCAGAAGACTGTACATAGAAATGTTTATTTAAAAACCATTACCATCAATGGAAAACCAGTACTACGGGAAATAGCGCTTGTTGTCTACACAAAACTGAGTCTGACATCTGTTAAGACAGGATATGAGCATCCAATAGAGGACCATTCAAGACCCACTAACACCAAACAAAGCCTTTCTCCTCGACAGTAAGTGGAAGTGTTACTTGCTTCAGTGTTATCTCAGGGTCCATGTGTCACCTACATTAATTTTGTTGTACAAGTGTATGTATCACACATTTTGGGAAAGACTAATATAAATTACTATTTTATTTTTAAATTTCTTTTTTATTGAATTTATTTGGGTGCCACTGGATAGAACTATTTTCTTTTTTAAAAAAATATATTTTTATTGATTTCAGAGCGGAAAGGAGAGGGAGAAAGAGATAGAAACATCAATGATGAGAGAATCATTGCTAGGCTGCCTCCTGCACACCCCCTACTGGGGATGGAGCCTGCAACCTGGGCCCGTGCCCTTGATCGGAATCGAACCTGGGACCTTTCAGTCCACAGGCCGACACCCTATCAACTGAGCCAAACGGGCCAGGGCAGAACTATTTTCTGATAACTCTCAAATATAAATGCTTATTCCTGATTTCTCTGAATTTCTGACTGCCTATAAAACATCTTTTGGGTTTCCTGCCAGCACCTCAAAATTTAGCATTTCTCCAACTCACATTGACCTACTGTTCAAGGCTACCCTCTTGGGTTCCCTATCTCAAATCAGGTCACTATCTTCTCAGTTACCTAGGACAGAAACCTTTAATCTTTAATCCCCACTCCCTACAGTTACCTGGGGCTCTAAGAGGCGCCAATCTGTCCTGCTTACCATGTCTTAATACTGGTAGACCTCCAGGGGGTTTCCTTTCTTTTACAGTGGTTTCAACTTCTCATTCCAAACAGGTTAGATCATGTCAGTCCCCCTGCTCAAGACTTCAAACCTCTATCATTGCCTTCATAACATCAAACAATTCTGGATCATTTAGTCCAATCACACTTTAGATGATGGCTTCCCCTTCAACCTTGAAGGCACAGCCTTTGTGACACCTCTCCAACCTTCTGCTTCTTCCCCTCAGTGCTCCGATGGCACTTCATTCTGCCTCAGAGTTATGTTGTCTGCCCAGCGCCCTTCCCTCCTGCCCCCCTTCTTTCAGGGAGTTACCATATGATGCTGATCATGGTATCAGCCACCTGAAACCCTCCCGAGGAGCCAGAGGGTAGACGGGGTAGGTACAGACCTGGGCTCAGACACATGTCCCGATCCTTTGAAGTTGCCAGGCAGAGTGAAATGTGTTTGGATATTCCCTCTCCCCACACCCCATTGTCCCATCTCACAGAGAATGCCGCTGAGAAGGAAAGAATGAGGCCAAACTGGTAGAGTCTGCTGAGGAGGGAAGCAGTCCTGACGACCTGTTTGGGTCTGTGCAGCAGACAGTCCCCATTCCAAACTCAGCCCTGCTCTGTTGTGTGAGCCGGTACAGCTTATCTTAAATTTACCTTCTCACCTCCTCCTCCCCACCTCTCTGTTTTCCCATTTTTCCACCCAGCGTTCACAGACAAACATCAGTCATCCTTCCTCTTTCCTCTCCCTGGCCTTCCATGAACAAGTACTTGATTTGCTTAGAGGATTTTCTAAAAATGCATCTCTATTCTCGCCGTCACTATTACAGTTCCAGACCCCATGAAAATAGTTTGAAACTTGATGAGAACTTCCTTATGGGCCACTAGGCCTCCAAACTCTCACCAATCTTATCTAGTCTGCAGAGCAAAGATCAGAATATGCTTTTACACAAAGAGTTGAAAATTATAGACAGAAAAGGGGAAAGGGGAAATCCAGAGATCTGAACAGAAGTCAAATATTTCTCCAAAAGCAATTAAATAGTTTCTTAAAGTTTATCTTCACATAGTTATGCAAATTATAGGCAACAGGGTGTCCCCCGTAATAGTGCAAATACATACCTTAACTCTACGAGTGATGCTTAGGAACCGACAAGTTTTATCGTAAAGTTCTTCCAGGTTTTCTCTGTCCCAGTAGAAATCCGGAGTGATCAAGAAGTCTGAACTCAAGTTTATACGGTGCCTTAAAAAAAGGAAAATCATAACTTTTTATTTTCTATCTTTAATTAAAAATCATGGTCTCTATTATTTTTTATACTTGGTGCTTTATTGACAATTGCTGATCTTTGTAATATTTCTGAGAAACAAATACATTCAAAAGAATTTTAAAAATCGCAAACTAATTCAATCTTTACTATTAGTATTATTTATGAAGTAATTTGAAAACAAAATGAAACTTTGTTTCTACTTTTTTTTTACTAAAAAGTTTTACAGTATACCCAAACATATTTTTTTTGTGTGGATAGGAATTAACATGGCTCAAAAGTAAAAAAGAAAAAGGTAAAGATCGACCACTCTTACTCCTCTTCTTATTACCAACTTTCCCTCTCTCCTATCCCCTACCCCCTACAGGTAAACACGGTTAGCTTCCCCTGTAGCTTGCCAGTGTATGTGTGTGTGAGAAACATTATCTCTTTCGTAATTTCTATCTATTTTTACATAAGAGGAGTAAGCTTACTTTTAAATGAAACCTAAGTTGAAGAAGTAACATATTAATAGCTTACTATAAAAAAGGAAAAACCTAGAGAAGAATTCAGAAAAAAAGTGGTTAAGGCCTCTTAACCCAACATACAACTCAAATACTTCAGGCCCTGCAAACATGTTGCTGTGTCCTTCCAGACCTTTTTCTGTGCATACACGCATGCATGTGTGTACATGTACTAGTATGTGTGGTATGTACACATATCAAGATGAATATGGGTATTTTTGTTGGTCTACACAAAGGCAATCATACTGTATATAATTTGTGCATGTTTTTATCATAGATTGACTACATTCCTTTTAATAACAAATGAGCACTTTTATTATAAAGAGAAGAAAACTTTGGATAAGAACAGCAGGACTCTACAGAAACTATTCACAAACCTAAGCATATTTATTCCTAACTTCTGAGTTTTGATATGGTAATTGGCTATATCAAATTCTGCTTGCATTCCCAAGACAAGAGGAGGTGCTCTCTCTACCCCACCTCTTACAGAACTCAAGGCTTAGATCTGCTGTGGGTGCTCCTGGTGGATGCACCCTGAGTTAGGGTCCCTGAGCTATGAGGAATGCGTAGATGATGAAACAGGGACCACCGCTCTCCAGGCCAAGTATCTAAAGAGAATGTGGAAAACAATCTCAGGTCAACTGCTTACGATGAACTCTAGTCTCATCCCACACTGGAGGGGATGAAACACTGAACAAGGCGGTCTATTGAAAACAACTTCCAAGAATCAAGATTTCCCTTCCATAAAACGACAATAACAAATTGGAACTTTTTCACACACTTACTTAAAATGATGCATTACTATGTCTCATCAATTTTAAGACAGTTCTTCCCAATTTGACATCTCTGAAAATGGGAGGCATCTTTAAAAATGGTATGTTATCTTACAGGTGGCAGCTGTGACTTAAATGTCAATGCCTTAAACAATTTATTTCCCTTATGCTTTCCTTTTTATGTATGACCGAGAGAGAATGTGATAGAATTTACACCCAAATAAAACTAAAAGAGCTATTAGGGCAAGTGCAAGATCGAAGCTCTGTGATAAAAAAAACACTGTATCACAGCCCTGCCGGCCTGGCTCAGGAGTTGAGCATCAAGCTATGAACCAGGAAGTCACTTTACGATTCCTGATCAGGCAACATGCCCTGGTTGCAGGCTCAATCCCCAGTGTGGGGCGTGCAGAAGGCATCCAATCAATGATTCTCTCTGAACATTGATGTTTCTCTCTCTCCTCCCTTCCTCTCTGAAATCAATAAAAATATATATTTTTTAAAAAGCACAGTATCATAGTTTTAAGTGGCAGCACCATCCCTCTCCTGGGGCATCTTATGTGTCTATCAATGAAATGTGGTATATAGCTTGTTTGGAGCAATTAGATCTATTTAGCATTCTGATGCAGTGACATATTTTTACTGAGAATTCCCATTATCCAAATGCTAGAAGGTATCTTCCTACCTTCAAAGAACATCACCTATGCTCTCATGTAGGTTTAATGTAGATTAACTCTGATCTCTTTTGCACATGTAGACTTTCTTCAGTTCAGTCCTAATACAGCCCACTGCTTCTTATGGGTAAGAATTCTCCACGCTTATAAAGAACGAAATGAAAACAGCTCCAAGTCCCATAAAGGTGCAAATGTTGACTCTTTACTGTAGAACTACAGGAATGTCTTCTTGAGACCATTAAATACATGAAATATTTACTGGAAACATTTTACCTGAGGGCAAAGAGTTCACCCATTTTCTGCATAACTTCTTCGTGAGATAGTTTCACTTTCCTCCCAGTTTTTAAAGCCTATTTGGGAGGGAAAAAGAAAACATACATACTTACACATATATCTGCATAAGTAAGAGACCATAAAGCAAATTCTGAAGCATTATCCAATGTAAACGACATCTCTTGGATGACTGTTTCCCAATCATGTCACTCTAATAAAAAATACTTAATCTTATTAGGTAGAAATTTTATATTCCCCTTTCCATTTCCTTTCTTACCAGCATTTTCTATATTGTACATTTCTTATCTTTTATTAAAAATTCAAGACCTCTGCCCTGACTGGTGCTGCTCAGTGGTTAGAGCATCGGCTCAAGCACCAAAAGGTCAAGGGTTCAATTCCTGATCAAGGGGACATACCTGGGTTTCGGGATCCCTCCCTGCCCCAGGGGCATAGTTGGGGTGCATGTAGCAGGCAACCATTCAATGTGTCTCTCTCACATCAGTGTTTCTCTTTCCCCCCTCCCTTTCCTTCCACTCTGAAAAGACACATACCTGGGTTTCGGGATCCCTCCCCGCCCCAGGGGCATAGTTGGGGTGCATGTAGCGGGCAACCATTCAATGCGTCTCTCTCACATCAGTGTTTCTCTTTCCCCCCTCCCTTTCCTTCCACTCTGAAAAGCAATGGAAAAATATCCTGTGAGGATTAACACAAAAAAAATTCAGGACCTTTTATCCCAAGTATAATTATTCTTTCACGGTAAAAAGATTAATTAAAGCAAGCCTGATTTTTAATGTATTTTCAAGTTTTGATATAACTTTATATGCATTTTTCATGCCACTATTTTTTTTCACAATTTAGCAAAATACCTTTTTTAATCAAGAAAAGTGGTCATAACTTCCTTCCTTAGAGAGAGGAAACACTTCACTTTTTTTTCTTTTAATGCAGTTACATTAAGAATACTGCAACATCAGAGGAAAGTAATTTGAATTTTACACTTGAAAAGTAAAAACAGCCCGGCCAGTATGGGTCAGTGGTTGAATGTCAACCCATGAACCAGGAGGTCATGGTTTGATTTCTGGTCAGGGCACATGCCCGGGTTGCAGGCTTGATCCCAGAGTGGGGCGTGCAGGAGGCAGCAGATCAATGATTCTCATTGATGTTTCTATCTCTGTCTCCCTCTCCCTTCCTCTCTCTGAAATCAGTAAGAAAAAAAAAAGGAAATTAAAAATAAAACAAATATGAAGTTTCTTATTCATCATTTTATATGTAAGTGGGATTCTTTTTTTTCTTAAAGTATAGCTTTCCTAATGTTTATTATTATTTTATTGTACTCCTAAATATATGGGTATAGTGGAAAATTTGCATTTTTCCCAAATAGAAATCAATCCTTGAAAGCAAGCATAAAATTGGTATAATTACCTCTGGAATTGACTGAATAGATTCCACAAACTGATCCAGTGATGCTTCCCAAATAGCCAGTTTCACTGGGGAAAAATTTCACAATGGATCATTTCTTTATCATCACCTTCACATTTATACAGAATGCAGAAGGGCACAGTACCTTTCCTGCCACGTCAACAATGCTCTAAGACAGTGATTGCCAACCGGTGGTCCACAGACCACTGGTGGTCCCTGAGGTCTGAAAGGTTGGCGAATGCTGCTCTAAGATGCAAATCTGCTAACAACTTGAAAGTGAAATTTAAGAACAGTTAATCATCATAAGGGACAGCACTGAAGTGGCAAAAGATAGAAGAAATGAAGTTGATTTCCAAGCCCTGCTTGCAGTCCAAAAATACATTTAATAGAATTTCTGATTTTCTAAGATTGTAGCTTGAAAACCAGAGAGAATGAGCTACATCCTGGGACAAAGGGCAGCTGCATAGGTGGGGCAGGGACAGGCTTCCCTGCCCCCTCAATTTCTTGGGGCTGTGAGTACAGCTCAGAAGTGCCTGGGCCCCCCCAGGTGGTGTGGAGAGGCCACAGTGCAGGCTGAGGGCAAACAAATTCTTAAGGAACTTCTCAGTTTCATCAGGTGCATGGACCTTTCAGAAAAACATACAGCCATGTGACCCTTCCCTTTCTGTGAAAAACGAGTGTATGTTTCTCCAGAGGCCTGTGCCAGTCACACAGGGCGGGGCTTTCCTGCCTGCACTAGAGACAAGCTAACAATGATCGCCACACAGAGAGGAGAGGAAAACAGGTAATAACAGCAACATAAAACGTTTTTGGAGGGGGTAAGCTTTATCCATACGATTAATAAGGAATGAGGAGCTTCAGCACAGATATTTATATTGTATTTTTTTTCTCTTGCAGAAAAAAAAGGAATGCTAAAGCTTTGCTGAGTATTCTATAAAAACATGTCCAAATCTTTACTAAATACTTCAACTTCCCTTGAGATGAAAACTATGCAGTGCTTCCTCGGATAAGTAGTATTAACTCACCTGAAAGGCAGAGAGCATTGGAGAAGGCGAATTTCTCTAGGATGGCGTCATCCACATCTAGCTCTGAATTTAACCTGATTTCTCCTCGGTGCAGTTTCGACTGCCCCCTGTGTAGAGGGAAACAAAAATGTATCCTGTCCGTCTTAAAAAGCACTTAATTTTTTTCTTTTGAAAAAGTCACCTTAGAATCTTTCTAGAGGTCATTTTGGTAATTTGTATCAAGAGTCTTATACCCTTTGATTCAAGTAATTCCACGTCTCGAAATTCATTCTAAGAGAATAAAAGATGTGAAGATTTATGTACAAAAAAACGTCATGGTCCAGTGTTTAATAGTAAAAAATTAAGAAGAAATGTTCAACAGGAGAATGGTTTGTTTATAGTATCCCACAAAAAAGTTATAATGCCTATCTCGGAAGGATATTTAATGGAAAGGAAAAATTACAATAAACTGTTAACTGAAAAAAATGTTGAATTAAAAGTATACAGTGTAATTTAAAATCACACTGATGTAGTGTGGGTGGGAGGAAGATGGCAGCTGTGAGAACTAAGGGTCCTGGCCGGTGGTCGGCTGGTTGCAGTGTCAGCCCGTGTATCAAAGGCTGCGGGCTGATATATTCCATCCCGGTAGGGGCGCGCACGGAAGGCAAAGGATGGATGTTTCCCTCTTTTTCTCTCCTTTCCTCTCTAAAATAATAATTAAAAACATATCCTCGGGCGAGGATTAAACAAACAAAAAACTAAGTTGCACATGTAGAGACCTCTGGGAGGGACTGGGGAGATGGGCTAATGGAGGGGATGTGGGAACATAAACATCAGAAGCAAGTGGGAGAAGTATAGGGTGAATCTTCCCACCGGATGTGAGATTTGTGAAGGAGCCCAGGCCTCGCCACAGCTGAGGGAGGCAGCAGCCAGGAGGCAGGGCCCACAAAACCACCACGCTGCTGGGCTGCTCGTGAAGGAGCCCAGGCCTCGTCACAGAGCTAAGGGAGGCAGCAGCCAGGAGTCACAGGCAGGGCCCACAAAACCACCACGCTGCTGGGCTGCTGGTGGGGTGAGGTGGTCTCACTGAATGAAACCAAATCACTGACGCTGGGGCCCAAAGAATTAAGGACCTCACCCCTCCTTAGACTAACAGGTAGTGAGAATGAGGCCCGAGTGTTCGTGCGTGCGGGTGGGTGGGGGAGAGTACCTAGGAAGCAGCAGTTCGATCTGGAGGTAGAGGCACAAAAGGGGGTTCATGGTAACTAGGGCCACAAGGCCAAGTGCTTAATAATTACTAAAATTCCATCAGCTCCTCATTTTGTGGTGTCTCTTAGGTTCACATCCCACTTTCAACTACCGCGACCATGGGCCCAGGTCCTCACTCCCTGGTCAGGTGCCCTTGGGCAACACAGGAAGCCGGTTAATCGCAATGACAGGGTTTCTGCCAGGATTCAATGAAATGATGCGCAAAAAGCACGTAGACCAGTGTTGGCATAGGCAAGGGGTTCGTCTTTCCTGATCACTCCTCACTCATCCAGGCTTTCAGTGTCTTCCTAATGGTCCTGAAGCTCTTCCTTTCTGAGTATTCCACCAGACAAGTAACTCCCTGGGAAAAAGACCTTTCAACCTGGTTCCTACTGCCTTCTCTCTACCCCTAACATCTCTTCATTACTCCCACCCCTTGCCGAGACAGCCCATACATCCCCCCTGGGATAGTATGCCAGGACCCCATTTCTACAAGTGGTCCTCTTAGATCACTCCCTCATTACATCCTGTTAATGCCAAAAATGTATCAATAGGGAAAAATGGACTCAAGAGAAAACTACTAGAATAATCTGAGGGGTTCGTTCTGATGAAGGCATACTATTTTACTGATTTAGGCTGCTTACCATTTTGGGGTTAGGCTATCTGTTTGTTTTGATTTATGAGTAGCCCAAGAAGGTAAAAAAAGTAGTATTTATTATGCAGGGGTGGGCAAAAGTAGGTTTACTTGTAGTGAGTACACAGAACAGAGTTTGTTCTTATTAATTATTGTATTATTTTCCATACCAACAACTGTTGGTTTACTTGTTGTGAGTACACAGAACAGAGCTTGTTCTTATATTATTGATTAATTATTGTATTATTTTCCATACCAACAACTGTAAACCTACCTTTGCCCACCCTGTATTTTTAAGCTTTGCATCTGTACCAACAACTGTTTTCTTAACACTAGTCTACGAATTCATCTATCGTTTATCTCGGCTGCTTTTCCCTCGCTGTCCCAGGTGCGCTCCCCGTGAACTGGTGGAAGTCGCTCACTCTGTTTTTATGTAGTTGAGCTCTTCGTTCTCCCAGTGCACCAGCGCAGTCTCATAGGGCTGCACTTCGTGCTTCTCCAGAACCTGCATCACATGCTTCATCTGGAAGGAAAGGAAGATGAAGCTGAAATGACCCGGCTCCTTCCGTGCGAAGTGTGCGACGTTTTCATTACAGTGGATGGCATTTCTCCTGCTGTTCAGTTCATAAGGAAAAGGCAAATTCATTGTGACAGTAAACTCACCAGGAAGATATATTAATTTGTCTTTATATTTGGAAAACACAAAAGAGCATAAAGAAGAAAATAAAAATTATCATTATCCCACAACCCAAAGAAAACCACTAGTAAAATTACGGTTTGTATTCTTTAAATTTAACTTTTAAAAAATGTTAAGTAACAGACGTTAAAAAATTTAAACAGCACAGAGGTCCCAAAAGTGACAATCTCTCCCTGCTCTCCTAAACTCCTAATCCCCCTAAGAACCATTCAACTCCGTGCACAGCCTGCCACTTTTTTTCCATGTGTATATAGTACATTTACTTTGCTTTTTATAGGAAACTAGAGGCCCAGGGCATGAATTCGTGCACAGGTGGGGTCCCTCAGCCTGGACAGGGATCGGGCTAGTCAGGGCCATCTCGCCCAGTCCCCATCAGGCCAATGGGGGCCAGCCAGCTGGGGAGGGCCTGTGGGAGGGCTCCAGGGCATGTCTGCCCTTCTCACCCAGTCGCGTCCAGACCCCAGCAGCAAGCTAACCTACCGGTCGGAGTATCTGCCCCCCTCGTGGTCAGTGTGTGTCATAGCAACTGTCTGAGTGGTTAACCGAATGGTTGATTGATCGGTCGGACACTTAGCATATTACGCTTTTATTATATAGGATGGGATCATAGTGCACATAGGAACGTTTTCATGCAGAAACTGCAGTCTGGTTAACTGTCCTAAATGTGCACCCATGGGGGTGGGGGCAGTCCTCTCTCCACTAGGACGAAGTGCACATCCATACGTGTGTATCTGCATGGCCTTGCGGGAATATTTCTTTAGCATTGCTAGATCAAAGACATGCACAATTACAATTTTGATAATTTTGCAAAACCGCTCTCCCAAATAGTTTTCCAATTTTAGAATCCAAACATTTATGAGAACATTCTTTAAAAACCCTGGTATTATCAGCTTTTTACATCTTTATCACTTCAAATAGCCAATCTGTATCATCTTTTTCTTGCTGGTCATTTATATTTCCCTTTCCTTCAGGAAACGCCCCCAGTTACCTCCGTGTGTGTGTGTGTGTGTGTGTGTGTGTGTGTTTGTGTGCGTTACTCTTTGTAAAACTGGAATTATATGAGGTATATTTTTCTAACCAACTCTGCTATTAGTTATAGTTTGTAACCTGCTTTTTTAATTTAACTGTATTGTACACACATTTTCCACCACTTCCTAGGAATATTTTTTCCACATGATTTTTAAGAGCTGTAGTATATTCTACATTTACTACAGTAGTAAACTCGTAAAATGTGTAGTATTTAACGAACTTCCTACTATCATGTATTTTGGTTATTTCTCCATTTTGCTATTGTAAACAATGTGTTGATGAACCTCATGCATCATCCACCATGCATAACTGCAACCATTTCCTTTGGATAACTTTCTAGATGTAAATCGCCGAGTTAGATACAAAGCTTTGATGTGTATGCTCAAAATGCCTCTAAAAAGGTTGTATTAAACAAATCCTGACTGGGGTACTGGAGAAATTGTTTCCTGTGAGTGATAAAGTCCTAGAAAACTGATCTAAAAATAAGATTCAGAGGACTAGCTCCCCGTGAACTGTGTGTAACGTTATTCATTTTGTGGGTTACCATGTATGGAGTATACTTCCTTCTGACTGCAGTGTACCTAGAATTGTTTTGATTCTCCCAAAATTAGCGTATGCTCAAAGAATGCAGGAAATTTATAAGCCAAAATAGAATGTATTTTGGAAGATGAAACTGCTAGGATAAATATGACATAATGCAGAGCAAACAAGTTGTAGATTACCTGTTAATTTATCTCCCAGTGGCTCAGACTGTTGAGCGTTAACAATTTATTCTCAGAAAACTATATTTTTATACTTTTACACCTTATTTATACTCACAGTTTTGTCTTTTACATTCCAGAACACAGCAGCTCCTTCCCTAATTTAAAAGAATAAAAGAATCAACGAAGTTAAAGCTAGAACACATGCTTTAGGGCCATACATAAAGCCATGCTTGGGTGACTTCTAGAATGTATCCAGAATGCAATTTAAAAATATGTGATTTATTACTGATTTGACATTATGGTTCCTAGATGGATATGCCAAAACAAAAGCTACTCTTTGAACTCTTGAGAAAACCTGACCTCTCAACAATTCATGATTTCTCTCATGGGTTTCAGAATAAATAACTCTTTTATAATATTATGGAACGACGTATCTAGACTGTTGTATACTTGCTTCAATTTTGCTGTACAAAAATCAGAATAAGGACATTTTTGAGACTCGTCTTCGCTCTCCTACAGATTCTGCTTTAGGAAAAGCATAGAGGGCCATGCTTCATAGCTGTGGACTAAAGAGACTGAGATGAATGAAAGCCTCAGGTGGCACAGGCACCTGGGGAGTGAGGCCCCCATCCTCAGTGCTCACGGCAGAACGACAAGGAAGCCGCAGGAGCCTCGGAATCCAATTCTGGCTTTGATAGAATTTAAGGCCTAAAAGCTATAAACAACTTGTTTTGATTTCTGCAGTCTGCGTGTGGAGTTGTTAAGCAGTACATAAAAAAGGGAGTTATGCCCTGACCGGTTTGGCTCAGTGGATAGGCAATCGGCCTGCAGACTGAAGGGTCCCAGGTTCGATTCCGGTCAAGGGCATATACCTTGGTTGCGGGCACATCCCCAGTAGGGGGTGTGCAGGAGGCAGCTGATCAAAGTTTGTCGCTCATTGATGTTTCTAACTCTCTATCCCTCTCCCTTCCTCTCTGTAAAAAATCAATAAAATATATTTTTTAAAAAAGGGGGAGTTATGGCTCTGGGTTATTGCCCTGGAGGAAGGAAGAGTGGAAATGGAAGGAAGGTAAAATATCCTGACCCCCTAGCAGCCTTCAGACATTTCTTAAGCAATGCACTTAGCATCTGGGCTAAAAGATGAGGATGGCCTAGTTCCTATCCTCACGGAACGCCCAATCTGGAAAGACTGATCCTAGACTGCCCATTACAACAGCGTGTGACCAGTGCTCTGACAGAATTAAGCAGCATATACCTGGATGTGCACCGGACGGACACAGTTCCCGAAGGACCAGCAAGCCAGCCAAAGGAGAGGAGGAGAGGAGGCAACCAGCAGAGGGCACACCCTGGGCTCAGGGAGAAGGTGGGAGGGACGGGCACCCTCTCAGAACAAACAGCTAGTAGTTTGCAAGGCTGTGGACGTGGGCTAGTAGTGGGCAGTCAGGGTGGAGGCAGGGAGGAACTTTGTGCTTTGATAAGTTGAGTCAAATTCCATAGAACTTTAAGCAGGACAGGGTAGTGACCAGAAAGACCTATTGAAAAATTATCCTGCCTGGGACAGGCACACAGACTGGTGGGGAGAGGAGACAGGCAGGAGACCAGGGAGGACGTTGTTGCGGTAGGCCAGCACAGAGTCTCAGGACACGGATTTGGGAGGCGTTTAAAGCCACAGCCAGAGCAGAAATTCAGAGGGTCACTGTCAGGCACACGAGAGGTCCCGGGCACGGTGCACCCTCCGTCTGGAGCTGGGCTGTGGCTCTGAGCACTTGACACAGGCCTGGTCCAAACCGAGAGATGCTGCATTGTGAGACACACCACGTTTAAGACTCGGTATGAAGAGAAGAATGTAAAATGTCACACACCTGGAACTAATACAAAATAATACTGAATGTAAACCATAGTTGCAAAAAATTTAAAATTATCCTGCCATACTCTTAGGGGAAAAAAAGAATGTAAAATGTCATTAATTATTGATTGATTACATGTTGAAATAATATTTGAGGTATGTTGAGTTAAATAAAATACACTACTAAATTTAATTTGAGGCATTATATGATCTTATTAGTGTTATTTAAAATTAAATTCATCTTCTTTTTAACTTTAAAAAATGTGGCTATTAGAAAATGTATCACTACCGATGAGGCTTGTGTTTGTGGCTGGCATTATATTTCTAATGGACAGCACTGACCTCAGAATTCAAATTCCTCCCACTATTCTACTGGGACTACATGTTGAACTCTGAATTATCTTCAAAGTAACATCAAAAGATGAGTCATCGACAGAGGCAATGATAGGGCTTCCAGTTATCATCAACCACACAGGCTGTATAAGGCCCACAAAATCATTTGGTCTGGCCCCGCCAAGGCATTAAGGGTGAGTTAACTGTTTGACCAAATACAGGAGGCTAATTTTTAAGTTGCTAATTTTGTATGGCCCGAGAATGATGTTATAAATACCCAAATGACCCGTGGCAGAAAAAGGGTTCCCTACCCTTGAACTACAAGGATGAAGACCACAAAGACTTTATCAAAGTCTGGGTTCTTCCGGATGCTCCATGTTTCTGTTCTGCCACTTGTAAGTCCCCTGATTGTGGATAATTCACTTAATTCCCCTGACACTCCCCCCCCCACCCCCCCACCCCCGTTTCCTCAGCTGCAATATGGGAATAACAGACCTTGCTCAAATGTTGGGAGGATAGTATGAAATTACTCTAAGTGGTTTCTACTATCCTTACCCTTCCCCTCAGCCACTCGGCAGTGTTTGACATTAAAGCAACCTTTCAGTAATGGAGTAAGTGTGAGCCAGGTCGCAGTGAAAGTGTCTGGATAGGTAAAGCGGCTAAAACATCAGTTAAAGAGCTGCAGAGGGAGAGGAAGAAAAGGAAGAAAAGGCAGCAGGGCAGGCAGCCAGAGTCTGATAAGTAAGGGGCCTGAAGATGAATGGAAAATGGATGCTTTACCTGTACTTAGTAAATGCAAATCCAGACTTAAAGAGACAAGGCAGGGGAAGATTATTTACTGCTTTTAATATATTTTATTGATTTTTTACAGAGAGGAAGGGAGAGGGATAGAGAGTTAGAAACATCGATGAGAGAGAAACATTGATCAGCTGCCTCCTGCACACTCCCCACTGGGGATGTGCCCGCAACCAAGGTACATGCCCTTGACCGGAATCGAACCTGGGACCCTTGAGTCCGCAGGCTGACGCTCTATCCACTGAGCCAAACCGGTTAGGGCTACTTACTGCTTTTAAAAATTATTTTACAGGAGGATTTACCAGAAGATTCCTAAAACTGACAAGCCCTCCTGTATAGAATAAGAATCAAAGGATACATTTAAACCACAAACTCACTACGAGAGGGGAGGCAGGCACACCTGACCTTTAAAGACCACATTACCCGCCCACGCGTCCACCTCCCAGTGGGGTTCTTTCTTGTCTTACCTGAAGAAGAATATTGTTCCAGGATCACCTTCTTTTGCAGAGTTTTCCACACCCATCACCAAAATATTGGCTGCATCTGTGATTTAAAATAAATGACTGAAAAGCTATGTCACAAGGTGACACAAGGTTTAAAAGGCACCTATAAAGGTTTAATCAAAAACTCATGATCATTTCTTCATACACCATTAAGCACTCTATTAACACGCTGTCCATCTTCCTACTAAGGTTTTCTGAAAATGTTTCATGAACAGGAAAAGGCCGTAGGACATTACTTTCACAAAACATTCAACAACCTGTGAAACTATTAGTGCTATTTAAAACTGCTCACTCATACCCATTTTGATTCAGTAATCACTAGTCCAGTTAATTATTATTAAAGTCTTAGTTTCAATACAACTAAAGCTCAAGAAATAAACTTCTTTCTACAAAATTAATTTAAAATAAAATGTGAAGAACCATTTATATATTCTCGTCCTTTAAATACCATTTTATTTATAATTTTATATATTAATAGTATAATTCTCAAACGACTAATCTTCCTGAATTTTAAGTGATACTGTGTAAATTGAGAGTAAAAAAAAATATACAGAAACAAAGCTACTGACCATTTCAAAGTTAATTATGAGAACTACCACCATAGTCACCTGAAATATTTTAACCTTTTAAATACTAAATATCAATATACAAATACTCATCCATAAGTTGTTACAAGTATATAAATATTCTATAAGTTATAAATATATTAATATATCAATTAATACATATACTAATATTAATATGTAAAAATTTATACATAATTTCTTAACCTCAAATTAGGATCTTCAAAGTTTCAGAATTTCTGCTAGAAGCTAGGGAATTCAGATAGAGACCAAACCCTAAACCACCTTTTTTGGGTGAACTCTAACTTCCCTAAATCCTACAGAGGGCAAAGTCCACCTGTAGCCGAGCAGCATAAATGGAGGTGGAAGCCTCGGCAGGGAGAATGGTGCAAGCAGCCCCGGTGTGCAGCGCCCAGGCCGCCCTGCCCGGCGGCCAAGGGCGACTCCGCTTTAGAGGCCCTGGACAGAGCTCCGTTTTTCTAAGCCAATTATGCCTGTTTTTGCCATCAAACAGAATAAACAATCTGTTCAGATCATCAAGGCTGAGAGAGCATAATGATATTTGGACTACTTCATGTGAGAATTCCTGTAAGAATTTTCTCTGTAGCAGGGGGTTTTCAGCCTACTAGTTTTGCTACTTTAAGGTAAATTCATGAATTTCCATCAAAGTGTTCCAAGTTACTTATTTTTTTAATATAGGGCAGGCTATTTTCTCAAGAATCCTTCCTGACAGTAGTCTAACATCGTCGGTTAAGGTTATTTTAATATTGTGTTCATCTTTTAGCTCATTTCCTTAGTTTTAAAGTCTTGGATTATATGGTAAATTTTTCTATAAAGGCTCTCCCCAACATCTCTATCAATCTCCTGGTTCAGCAGTAACACTAAAGTAACATTTCAATGCGGCAGCAATGAACTGCCATGGCCTTCATCATCCAAAGTACTAGTGATGCTGTGCAGCTTAACAGGTCTTATTGATTTTAATCTGAGAACTGAGCTCCCATAAACTACATTCTAATTTCTTATCTTTGTATGTTGTTTGTATGAAGAGGTTCAACCACCACTTTTGTGATGCAATCCTTTAAATAGAAAATGAAACTGAAGCAAGTGCAGACTTAAGACAGTATCAGAGGAAAAGCATTTCCTGATGCATTTGGACATACTTGGCCCCAGGTTCAAGGAGATGTACCTCTAGGCAGGCTGGTCACTTCCACATATCCCTGAGAGGCCAGGTCTTGAGAGAGCGCGCTCAGGTGATACTCATCCGCAGTTGCAAACGCCGTGCAGTGCATCAGGTCCTGTTTCGGCGAGATTAGCATGACAGGTCACCGGGAGGCCGAAGTGTCTGCAATGATTGCTGTCACCTTACAGGCTCCATCTTGCAAAGCTAGTGTTTCTCCAAACATCTCAAAGACTCACACAAGGGATGTATGAAAGAGGAGGAGGAAGGGCAGCAGGCAGGCAGGTTGCTGCTGAGTGTATGAAAGAACTTGCTCCTGCCAGCCAAGACGGCGGATGGCTATCCTGAGAGGGAAGCCGCTCCCCTACTGGGAGTTCAGGCACAGAGTGAGCGAAGATACGGAGGACTTCGCATCATATGGGTGCCTGGGTGACACGCTATTTATTTATTGATTGATTGATTGACTGGATGACAAGATATTCAAAAAGTCTCTCCAACCCCGAGTTCCCATGACTCTTATTCACAGCCACATTATTATTTAAGGTCATTTAATAACCTGTCACTAGCCTGTACAAACAGAGATTATTTGAAATCTACAAAGGAATTATAGATCTTTTACTCTGGTTAATATTAAGCACAACGTTTCATATATGTATCTGAGAATGCACCCGGGTTTGGTTCCTGCACCGAGTCTCGTCCGTGTGTACACGTAAACATTCATGATTTGTGTCTGTACAGTGCACACATGAAAAGACGGTCCAGTGCAGTGTTTTTCTCAAACTGTCAGTCACAACCCATAGTGCATCCTGTTATCAATTTAGTGGCCCAAACCAGCTGAAAAACAAAACTAAACAGAATAAAATAGAAAATAATAGAGTACATTATTCATAGTAAGGATACATTTTATTTGGTGAAGTTTTCTGTCACTTAGATATGTCTAAGTATGTATACAGGGTCACTATGTATATATAATATAAAATACGTTTCTCACTTTGGGACGAGGTCAATAAAGTCAAAAGCTATTGGCACAGGTGCTAAGAGTTCAGGCACAGAATTTGATTAATTTTTAAAAATCAAAATAATAATAATGCCTGCCTTTTAGGGTTTTTGTGAAGTTTAAACAAGGTGATCAATGTCCACTACTTAGAACCCTGACTGGCACAAATGCTCAACATTTCTTACAGTTATTAAACCACCAAAATTTATGGGAGGTTAAAAAGTTTATCAAGTAAATTACATCTGAACATTCACATATTCCTAATTTTCTGTATTAATATCTACTGATCAGAACAAGTGATTCTATTCCTTTGATATATATGGGGCTTTAGCCCATCACTGATCAAAAGAGGTGAGTCACTAAATCAAAAGTTATTCCTGGGACTCACTCATCTCAGCTCCTAAAGTCTTTCCTTTTCTGTTCCAGCCCTGGTATGAAATTCAAGAAAAGGAGTATATTAATTCCTTCCTTTCTCCCATCAGCAATAAATTACAATTTTACACAAAATCCAGATTTCCACTGTCTTTTGATCATGCGGAAGAACTGGCAATAATCGACTAGGGCTGAGGAGGGGCGGGCCCCCCAGCCCACACAGCCTCCCACTCCCTGCTGTCTCGTCTACGTCACCCCCATTTGGTACTGGCCAGGCCCATCTGTGCTGAAAATGTTCACTCTTTTGCACTCTCAAAAATGGGGCAAGGCAAAGCATTTCATCACCATTTCCAGGAGAAAATTTATTCTGAGCTCCAAAGAGTCAGATTATAAATACATTTTAAAACACAACCTATTTTCCCCTTAGCCAATCCAAGGACCTTCTCTGCAGATTCCCTAAAGATTGTCACATGTCCTTCTCTCCTGGGTCCCATTTAGTTTGGCTAAAAGTTCTAGCCAGTATCACACGGTGTACATGGCTGCCACACTACTTTCTGTGTCCTCCTGAACCCGAATCTCTGTTTAACTTATGGCTTCTTCTACTAACAAGTGATTCATAAAGTTTTTCAGTCTGACTTGGTAGACATTTTTTTTCCTTTTGCTCTCAAATTGCAAGACTGTATTTAAATCTATTTGGTAAAAGGAAAGAGAATTACGAAGTGTCCTGATTTTGCATTTCCTCCTATTAATTCAAAGTGTTACTACTTTGTGAGAAGCTTTCATTTTCATATATGTCTTTTATTTAATTTTTATAATGAATCCTTATTTAGTAAGCATTTTATACATACACACACATAGTACAAATTTCAGGTTTTAAAATGGGGTAAAAAAAAAAAATGGGGTCAACAACTTGCTCTTAAATAAATGTGCCAAACCAACCAAAAATAGTTCTTAGATTTAAGACCTAAATTTAGGCCTTCCTATTTTAAAATGTTAAAAACAAAACAACCCAAAGCCAAGAAAACCACAGCACTTTCGGTTATGGGTTGTTTTTTTTCCTGGCCACAGAAAACACGTTCCAGCAGATGGGGCTAGAAAGCTATACATGATTCTTGTTTTATTTAGCATCACACGCTCTGATGAGACACTTGTCTTAAAAAGGAAAGTTTATTTTGTTCACATTCTGTTCCTGAAGAACATTAGCACATTACAGTAATGCCGCTTCCCTACCATAAGGGGGAAATGCATGTCTTTCCTAATATGTACAGATTGTAGGTGAAGTTTATTAAACAGGTACATTTTACGTTACTGTTACAATGCTTTAGCTTTCAAGCTTTTTGACTGCAACCTATGGTGAGAAGTCCTTTCACATACACAGCAGATATATGCGCATATGCACACACCAGCAACTGACACCGTTTCCCCAAACAATATTTTTCACCTTTACCACTTGTAATGTATTCTGATACATTTGGTGATGGAGGAACTAATTTCTCGTAAGACATTTTTATGTCTTTCTTTTTTTCTCTGTTAGACAACAAGAAATATATAACTCAGGAGGATTTCCTCCTTTCCTTGATCATTGGGCTTTGCAGAACTAATGAATTAGTCATACCAGGTACTTGATAATCTTTATTCCTCTGTTCATGTCAACTGTTTGCTCTACTGTAAATGTAATGCTTTTATTACCTCACTTGACACTGTATTAAATTTTGAAAAATCTACTTCAAATCCTTTCTTCTAAACAGAAGAAAAGTCCCACAGAAAAATAAAAAAATGGAATTCAGGTGTTTGGCCAGTAGGAGGCAATAACATGCTCCCGAATCTAAGGCTAGCCCAGAGAAGTAATGCCTCTTTGTCGTTTTATAACCGACAACAACAAAAAAAGTAACATCTTTGACCTTGTCAGGATCTTCATAAGAAACCTGCTTCTGCTCTATGCTGCTCGACAGAACAAAAGAAAAAAGGGAGTTCATCTTCCTCTTTTTGTATCTGCCATGAATTGGGGTTTTTATGCTTAAATTAATCTCAGTCACTTAGATACTGGATTTCCCGGACTATCACAAAGCTGAATGATATAATAAAACATCAGGAGCTAGGAAGAAGAAATGAGAGAAGTTCACACGGAGCTCTTCCATCCTTCATATACTGGGTTCAGAGGGGCCATACACGAATTTAAACAAAAGCAGAATCCAAAATGAAAATCGTTCGTCGATGCCTAACTTCATAATCTGAAGATTAGTGATGAGGGTCTGTAGATCTTTACAAAGGAAGCCAACAGCCCAGTAAAAAAACACAACAAGCCCTAGCTGGTCTGGCTCAGTGGATAGAGCATCGGCCTGCGGACTGACAGATCCCAGTTTCGATTCCGGTCAAGGGCACATGCCCTGGTTGTGGGCTCGATCCCCAGTAGGGGAATGCCGGAGGCAGCTGATCAATGATTCTCTCTCATCATTGATGTTTCTATCTCTCTCTCCCCCTCCCTTCCTCTCTGAAATCAATAAAAATATACTTAAAAGAAACACACACAACAAAATTAAACATGCTTAGGGTCCACTCAGAATTGAGATGTTCAGACAGACATTCTAACCTGTTTTCTGATAGATTCAGCAGGCCTGATCAAGTTTTAAATATTCTACATTCCTTTAAAAATAAAAAAAACCTCACCCAAGGATATGTTATTATTGATTTTTAGAGGGTGAGGAAGGGGGGGGGGGAGAGGGAGAGAGAGAGAGAGAGAGAGAGACTGACATTGATTGGTTGTTTCCTCCCGCACACCTGACCAGAGATCAAACCCTTTATCAACTGAGCCACCTGCAGGGCCACATTCCTATTTTTTAATAATGAGGAATACAGACATAGAAAAAATTCCTTTGCCTCTTTTCCATCCTTCCCAACTTAATAAACATTTATAAGTACAAGGCACAGTTCTAGGTATTATGCAAGATAGGAAGGTTAACAAAGGGCTTGATCCTGACCCTAAATATTTCTCATTTAGAGGGGAAATGTGATTATAGCTGAGAAATTCCCATATACCTTGTAATAGTGAACAAAAATACCCTTTCAACCTTCAAAGAATAAAAAAGCAGAAACTTTCCCCCTGCCTTTTGATTTGACCTTGCCACGTCATCTCACCACCCCACCCCACCCCACCCATGCAGTCCCATGGACTAATGAATGCTTACCTGTCTGCACAGTCACTAAAAAAAATTATTTCTAATTGAATAAAGAATTCCTTCAGTTTGATTTTTTTAAAATGGGTGTTTTTTTAGGGGACCATTCCTAGACTGCATTTAATACTAGTCTGCCGGAAGCCAATTCCAGCAGGTCATAATTGCAAGAGTTTCATCAAAAGGTTGATGGAACTTGGGGACTCAACAAGGGCTGAGTCACAAATATTGTCGCCTGTTGGGAATGGCTAAAGGCATTTCTCCAAACCTGAAAAGGGATGACTGCTTGCTGCCGGACAGCTCAGGGCATCTTCATCTACATGTTATTGCCTCCTACTGGCCAAACACTGAAAAGCCGTAGGCAAATTCTTCCAATCTGACAATGGATTCTGTACCTAACCCTACCCTTTGAAGTGTATATATCTACCTCGCCTTAGGACAAATTGTGCTAATAAAAAGCAAGGGGTCCTGAGATGAAGAGAATTTAGTTCATTTAACTAAGTCTTCTCTGACTCCCTAATGCCTTTCAAAATTATGTTTTGTCTCTGGACTCTTATTTAAGTTACACACAGCCCTTCCTCCAGATTCCTTAACCCTTCTAGATGCTGGAACAAGAACCCTGGCACTAGTCTTCTTTTGCAAAGTTTCCTTAGGCCAATAACTAAGCCTTTCGTAAACTATATTTGTACATTTAATCACCTATAGTTTGTCTTTATATGTCTCACTAATTCTTTTTTTTTAAATATTTTATTGATTTTTTACAGAGAGGAAGGGAGAGGGACAGAGAGTCAGAAACATGCATGAGAGAGAAACATCGATCAGCTGCCTCCTGCACACCCCCCACTGGGGATGTGCCCGCAACCAAGGTACATGCCCTAGACCGGAATCGAAACCGGGACCCTTCAGTCCACAGGCCGACGCTCTAGCCACTGAGCCAAACCGGTCAGGGCTGTCTCACTAATTGTTAACATTAAGATTTTGATTCCCTTTGAATATAGTAAGTTTTACTCTTTGGCAAAGATCTTGATGAAAAAATTGCTGAGCTGTGTGCGATCCATGCTAACCTAGAGAGGGAGCGATTATTCCTCAACCGAAGGCCCCCACCACGTTTTTACCTCGTTCACGGACAGAACCGGAAGGTTGGTCCTGGACGGTTGCCGGGTCCTCGAAGCTTTTAGTGATCTCTTGATCTGCGGAAAGTCTTGTTTAGGAACCAGCGTTTCTGTTGACGTGGATGAGCAATGCCTCTCGATGATTTTTATAAGCCACTTAGGACCTAATCGATTTGGTTTGTGAGTCATCGGGAGCGGGCCCAGAGACTTCCTGGTGGGGAGGCGCGCTTGTTCACCTTGGCAACGTGCAGTGCTGGATGCAGAGAACACGCTTGTGTTTGCTGCGTTCGGGTTCATTTCCAGGATCTGGGACTCATTCAAACCACCGGCTCTGGTATCAGGAAAGAACAAATCCAAGGTTTGACTTCTCGCCAGGGCGCCGCGTGTTGCGCTCTCGAGTTCCTTAAGTGGTTTTCCTGTTCGATGAACCAGTCTTTGGCGCTGACATGCTTTTGATAAAACGCAGTGAGATCCGGCCAGGGCATGGAGAAGTCTGGCTGACATGACCACATCCCAAGCTAGAAGGAAAAGAATTCAAAGTTCAAGTGTTGTTGTTGCTGTTTTTTAAAGTTTCAAAAAATACATAATATTTTCCTAGGTAACAGGCATATTTCTATAAAAATATTTGCAAAACAGATACATCTCAACCTAAGTCTAGCAAAAAAAAAAAGGTTACAAAATAGATACAAGTATTTCTGCTACTTTTCCTCTAATCAACCTTCAGCCTTTTTTTCTGGAAGATTACAAGATTATAAAGCTGACATGACAAGAAAGAGCTGCGAGAACTCTCCATTTACTTCATTAGCATATCTATTTTTAAAAATCTGTCCTTATAAATTCCTTTATTCAAAATGTATGCAGCCTTTACAATGAGCTAGCAATGAGCTGGGGTCAGGCATGCTTCCACGAAAGGACAGAGTCCCTGCCATTGTGCCAACGGTCTCCTGGGGGGACAGGATCTCCATCTGTTCACTGTAACTCTGTGGAAGGCCCTAGGCCAGGGGTGGGCAAACTTTTTGACTCGAGGGCCACAATGAGTTCTTAAACTGGACCGGAGGGCCGGAACAAAAGGGTGGATGGAGTGTTTGTGTGAACTAATATAAATTCAAAGTAAACATCATTACATAAAAGGGTACGGTCTGTTTTTTTTTTTTTTTTAGTTTTATTCATTTCAAACAGGCCGGATCTGGCCCGTGGGCCGTAGTTTGCCTACGGCTGCCCTAGGCCCTAGCAAAGACCCATTGCAAGGCACTGAGAACCACGCAGGGGCTTAGTGGAAGGCCCTAGGCCCTAGCAGACCCATTGCAAGGCACTGAGAACCACGCAGGGGCTTGCCCCACTCCACAGGAAGAGTCAGGAAAGGCTCCCAGGAGGATTTAAGCTGCTACTCGAAGGGGAAGGTGCTTTTCAGGTTGGGGGTGGGCATGGCAGTGAGGATATGGGATGTCAGACAGACAGACAGACACAAATACATAGACACACTTTCTTTTCACACAAAGAAAACAAGACTACATAAGTAATTTCCCCCACTATTTATAGTATAGAATATTTATTCTTTCCAAGTAAGCCTGTAGCAGGCAATTAAAAATATGTTACAAAATCACACGTTAGGTGTGGAGATACAAGTGGGAGTCAGTGATCTCAGGATTCACTGTCCAGCAGGGGAAACAGACACATTAATGTTGTGAGCACTACGGCAGGAATTGCTGTTGGGCCTGGGAAGGGAGCATCTGGGGTAAGGCGAGGGCAGGACAAAGTCAGAGGTGACAGTTGAACTAGGTCTCAAAAGGGCAGAGGGATCAGCAAATCAAACACCCAGGTACACAGTTCTGTTTACCTGACAAACAAGTGCAGCTTCGGGGGAGGCGGGAGTAAGCTGCCTCAGCGATCAGCACTGACAAGGAGCAGTGGCCAGATCATAAGCGATCCTAGAGCGTTTCTGTGGGTAGGGGGAAGCCAGAGCTTTCAAATGTGAGACTCACAGGGCCAAAGGATGTTTAAGAAACGTATCTTAGGCCCTAGCTGATTTGGCTCAACGGATAGAGCGTCGGACTGTGGACTGAAGGGTCCCGGTTTGATTCCGGTCAAGGGCACATGTCCGGGTTGTGGGCTCAATCCCAGTGGGGGGTGTGCAGGAGGCAGCTGAGCAGTGATTCCCTCTCATCATTGATGTTTCTATCTCTCTCTCCTCCTCCAGGTCAGGAAACTGAGGCTTAAAGAGGCTCACCAGTCAGTTAGCGAGTTGCAGCGATGTAATTAAAACCAAGGCTTTTCCAGTTCCCAAAACAACACTTGTACCCATTGCACTGTACCACAGGAACAGAGGGAGGAGGACAGGACAGGGGTGGGGGGTGTTTAGGGTTAGGGTGGGGCAAAAGTTGGTAGGTACACAGTTCTGTTTACCTGACAAACAAGTGCAGCTTCGGGGGAGGCGGGAGTAAGCTGCCTCAGCGATCAGCACTGACAAGGAGCAGTGGCCAGATCATAAGCGATCCTAGAGCGTTTCTGTGGGTAGGGGGAAGCCAGAGCTTTCAAATGTGAGACTCACAGGGCCAAAGGATGTTTAAGAAACGTATCTTAGGCCCTAGCTGATTTGGCTCAACGGATAGAGCGTCGGACTGTGGACTGAAGGGTCCCGGTTTGATTCCGGTCAAGGGCACATGTCCGGGTTGTGGGCTCAATCCCAGTGGGGGGTGTGCAGGAGGCAGCTGAGCAGTGATTCCCTCTCATCATTGATGTTTCTATCTCTCTCTCCTCCTCCAGGTCAGGAAACTGAGGCTTAAAGAGGCTCACCAGTCAGTTAGCGAGTTGCAGCGATGTAATTAAAACCAAGGCTTTTCCAGTTCCCAAAACAACACTTGTACCCATTGCACTGTACCACAGGAACAGAGGGAGGAGGACAGGACAGGGGTGGGGGGTGTTTAGGGTTAGGGTGGGGCAAAAGTTGGTTTACAATTATTCATATGGAAAATAATACAGTAATAAATAATCATAACAGGTTCTATCTCCAGCCAGAGCACATACAAGCACTCAAAGCCCTGGCTGGTGTCACTCAGGGGTTAGCGTGTCAGTTCTACAGAAGGAATGATTCAGCTCTTCTCCCCTCTTTCTTCTATGCCATTTATTTTTTCCTCTTTACTGGCACATTCCTATCAGCATACAACGATGCTTTCATTTCTCCCGTCTGATAAAACCAACTCTTCCCTGGCTCCATCTTCCCTCCCATATACTAGAGTGACTATACCTTTTCTCTGAGCTCCCTTCCTTTTAGAGTTTTATTTGCTGTCTCTGACTCCTCGTCTCTGATTTTTCTCAAACGCACTCCAATCAGGCTTTCATCCCGAACACTTTACCACTTGTCAAGGTCACCAATGACCTCCACATTTCTAAGTCCAATGGGCACTTCTCAGTCTTCGGTTTACCTGACTTATCAGCAACATCTGATACAGCTGATCACTCCACCCTCCTGGGAGCACCTTCTTCCCTCGGCTTCTTCTAGGAGTCCCCACGGGCCACTTACCTACCGCACTGGTGGCACCTTTGGTCTCTTGCTGGTTTCTCAACCCCTCAAGGATGGAACGAGCTAAGGCTCAGTATTTTCGCCACTGCTCTTCTCTATTCTCAGATCTTGGTGATCTCACCCAACCTCATGATCTTATATACCATCTTACTCCTTAATGAGTATCAAAAACTTACCTCTAAACCACTCTCATTCACACACAAAATGTAACATTCTCAAAACTCAGTTTCTGAAATCTACCTACAAATCCTATTCTTCCCACAGTCTCTCTCCCCCTTTCATGAAATAGCAATCACATCCTTATCTTTGCTAAAGCCCAAAACCTTGGTTCTTCTCTTCATTCTCTATACCCAATCTGTCAGCAAACCCCACTTGCTTTATTCCAGCTAGTTCCTGCCACCCTGGTCCAAGTTGCTATCTCTCCCAAAGGTTATGGTAATAGCTCCATATCGTATCCTCCCTGTGTCTGTTCTTGGACTCCCACAGATTCTGCTCAACACGGTGACCAAAGTGATCCTTTGAACACTTAAGTCAGATCACATCTTTCCTTTGTAGAAAATTTGACAATGGCCTCATATTTCACTAGAAATAAAAGCCAAAAATCTTAAAATAGCTTGTGTGGCCCTGCATTCTCTGGCGCTGCAGCACTCTAACATCTCCCACAGCTCTTTCCCTTGCTCATTTTGCTCGTCACTCTGGCCTCTGGATCTTTGCATTTACTGTTCCTTATGCTCTTCTCCTAGGTCTCTGCAACCTCATTCCCTCACCTTCTTCACACCTTGGCTCAAATGTCTCCTTCCCCAACCACTTCATTTAAAATGCACAGTCAGCACCCATTCTCTATCTTCCTCTCCTTTATAGCTCTCCGTTGCATGTAACATCCCTTGCATACCTTACATTTTCAGTTTATTAATACACACAGCACATATGAACTGAGTTCCTATCATGTGGTAGGTACACACTGTCCTACTTGCTGAAAATACAGGAAAATGGCTAAAAATCCCTATCTTTTGAAGTTTACGTCGCATTGGGGTGACAAGACAATAAACATAGTAAATCAGCAAAATATACATTAAACAGCAACAATGCTAGAAGGAAAAATATAAGAGGAAGGGATAGATTTGTCTCCCCTCTAAACTTCTGCGGATTGAGGTTTGTCCTTGGTGCACGCTGTCCCCTTGGCCACAGTGCCCGGCACACGGTAGGCATTCAACTCCTGTTTTTTGTATGCAATACAAAGCAGCTACTCGGTTCTTGGGCACATTTCCTACGAAACAGTATCAGTGGCCAAGGGACCTTAATCTTTGGGAACATACCTTCCAATTCCTCAACTTCAAAGCTATTTCATCTGTGCAGTGACCGCTTTGCACCGGCTCAGAGGAGCGTTCCGTAAGTGTGTGTGGGCTGAGTGCTTTTCACTCCCAGCTAAGTGGACCAAAGAGCACCGTTACGCGCAGAGCACCACGGCGGTCCCGGTGACACTGTCACGCGGAGGTTCCAGGCAGGCGGGGGCCCCGCGCAGGGCCTCATGGACTGCCGCGGCAGGCAGTGCACTAACCTCTCCGCCGGAAGAGAAGGAGGCCCGGCCGCAGAGGAAAGAGACTGGTGGCGACAGCTTCCCTGTCCCCAGAGCCAGCCCACTCCTGCACTGGGCCGCTCCCAGCGCGCGGCACTGCG